ATCTTCGGCCGTCTAACCGGGACCCGGATTCGAGGGGGACACCGATACCTTTATCGGCCGGGCCTGTGCACGCGTCGTAAACTCCGCGTTTCCATGTAAAGCGGCGCCGAAGGTTGAGCAAAAATTGATTGGAAGTATGATAACCGGCTTAGAGCTCGCGTCGACAACCTTGACATAACCTATCCGTCGGATCGAGGCTTTCCGACCGGAGAAGGCGAAGAGAGGTGAAATCAGGCGAAAGATCGGCGGAGAAAGCGATGTTCGCGTCCGGGATCGATAGCGATATCCGACCGGGCGATTCATAGATCGCGCAGGAAAATCGCGGAAACGGCGGGTGAAAAATGAACGGTGTTGTCGCGTGCCAGGCAGATTCGAAGGAACGCCGCGCCGCGGCGTCTCATTCGCTTGGTAGATCGTCATTTGTTATTCGATTCCATTATATGTATATGTATACAGGATGTCCCGAAAATGTCTCGCAATCCGAAAGTGGCGGGTTCCTCGGGTCGTTCGAAGCAACTTTCTCCTTTACAAAAATTTTCTCCGAGGCACCGTTAACGAGTTATTAGCGATAAACAGTGACCAATGAGTGGCACGCTCGATTGGCGCTAAGCGGCCGAGCCAATCAGCGGAACTGGGCTTCGAACGCGCGAGACAGCCGAGCCAATGAGCGAGCGAAGCCCAGTTCCGCTCATTGGCCGCCTCGCGCTCGGCCGAGCTCGCCTTTCATTGGTCACTGTTTCTCGTTAATAACTCGTAAACGAAGTCGCGAATTGCATTTACGCTGAAGATAATGTTACTTCAACTAACCTCAAGAACCCTCATTTTCTAATTAGTTTGGAAATTAATATTGTTCCATTAAAATTGAAACTACAGTAGTATGAGAATAATTTCTCATATTCCATTTGTCTGACCATGTACATCCTCATTCCACTAATTTAATCACAGAAACACTATTACAATTAAAATAACCTTATTTCAGTGCAACCACTCATCAACGCAATGATTAACTGCTTAATTACCGAAACTGTATAAAGATCGTATAAATTATTGTTCAGCTGCAATCGCTAAGAATATTAAGAATAAATAAGCTGTACAATAAATTCTTCCAAATTGTCCCTCAGCTTGTAAACAAAAATGGACAATCCACAAATTTGGAAAGAGGTTATGTAAGAGGTTATGAAGAAGGTACTTCACGGCTCGTTTTTACAATCGCCAATTATCAACTTCCTCCTGCTGTCCGTTTTTGTATACAATTTGGAAGAATTTACTGCAGATAAAAGTCTACTATTCGACCGAATGATTCATACTGATTCCACGATTCCTTCGGAATCAGATCGAAACGGTTTTCACCTAATTCCGCGCGAGGAGAATCATTCTCGAAGAAAGAGCTTCATTATTTTTGCGGTTTCTTTCATGCCCGATGGATTCAAGGCCGGGGGAAGACGAGCCAAATATTCGTTCTCCCGTCCAATCTTCGTTCGCCATGATAGCGTATTAATAAGCTGAGAATCGGAACGGCATTTTTTCGCGAACGATGTACGTATAAGTCCGCCAGATGTTTCCCCGGAACATTGACTAGCCGAATCGGACGGTAATCTTCGAAGAACCTTCCCACGTGCGAGACAGACGATTTCGCTGCTTTGAAACTCCGGAACAATCTCTGCGGATAATCTCGCGTGAGCTTCTGCCGGCCACGGCCTCGGCCGTCGTCGCGCGGCGCCGACGTACGGTGTGGGGCAAGTGTGAAGCCATGAAAAACTGGATATTAGTCAGTCACGTGATCTGGTTTGCCAAGAGAAAAGACTTAATTCCGCCGACACTTTTCCTCCACCTTTTTCATTCTTTCCACTGTCTCCGCTTCTTGCGCCACTCGTTTTTCATCTTTTATGATTTCTTATATTTGACACGTTTCCCATTTTTCCCCACTTTTTTATTATTTCGTTTATTTGACCGTTTTACGCTATTCGATTCGTCTTCCACTGTTTTACTATTTCTCGTTTATTTCACTGTTTTTCACTATTCGATTCGTCTTCCACCTTTTTACTATTTCGTTTATTTCACTGTTTTACGCTATTTGATTCATCTTCCACTTTTTTACTATTTCGTTTATTTCACTGTTTTTCACTATTTGATTCGTCTTCCAGTTTTTTATTATTTCGTTTATTTCACTGTTTTTCACTATTTGATTCGTCTTCCACTTTTTTACTATTTCGTTTACTTCACTGTTTTTCACTATTCGATTCGTCTTCCACTTTTTTACTATTTCGTTTATTTGATTGTTTTCCACTATTTGACTCATCTACCATTCTTTTACTATTTCGTCTATTTGACTGTTTTTCTGATGCAATATTTGTCACATAGTTTTTCACTATGCGTGTACATTACCGCGCTGCTTTACTGAACTGCGTCCCTTAACCTATACAGTGCAATTCTCGATGAGCCGGTGCGAACACGTTTGATCGTAGAGTATCTATACTTAATTTGTAAAGTGCTTCAGTGAGAATACCTTGACCCTAGAAATTGTAGCTGTGTGTTTGTGTGTGCGTATTTAAAAGAAAAAGAATTATTTCAACCTTGACGCGCAATAAACCATGCAGTATTTAACTCGCACTAATAGATGCATAACTGCATACATGAATGCAGGTTATGTTACAGTTCACTTTACATTACGCTCTTTAATGAAATTCCTGCTTTCAAAGATGCAATATTTTGAGAAAAGTAAATATTCAAGGTTAAAGAATAATAAGTATAGCTCAAGTTATTGTCAATTTATTGTCGTAAATTGCCTTAATTTTTCTCCGTCAAAGTTCGTCTTCATTGAAAAATCACAGTTATTCCTACATTTATTCCTACTTAACCTACGGGGAAAAGAAAATTTTTGCTCATTCGAGTCGCTCTTCCCGGTTTCCCGCAAGAATTTCTTCGCCCCCCTCTCCTCCCTCGGTCCCCCGAATCCAATTACATCGCGGCCATCTTGGCTTAATCGAAAGCTCGCGCGAACAGAAGAGCGAGCAGTTTCGTTTAACAAATTGACCACGATGCAACGCGTCGGCGGCCGGGACGCGCGTTTAATTATCGCCTCCGAATTACGATCGTAATTGCGTCGCGCGTGCTCGCCGAAACGTTTCGGTTGCTTTATCGGTCAAACGGATCAGCGATAGCCGCTGATCTCCGGGATCTACAAATATGGTGCCTGGGGAGAATCGACCGATCACATCGATCAGGCCCGTTCAAAAATTCAGGAGCACTATCACCGGACAAACGAGGTATGTACAAATTATTACCACAATCGAGTTCGATCATTTACGCTCGTATTAATTAGCATCTCTGAATTAGTGCAACAAATGAAAATTAATGGTTTTATGTATATACAGGGTGTCCCGAAAATGTCTCGTAATCGGGAAATGGAGGGTTCCTGAGATCATTTGAAGCAACTTTCTCCTTAGCGAAAGTGCAAACCGCGGCTTCGTTTACGACGTTTATCAACGAGAATCAGTGACCAATGAGGGGCGAGAGATCGGCTGACGCGAGGCGACCGAGCCAATGAGCGGAGTTATTTCAAATCACCTAAGGAATCCACCATTTCCGAATTGCGAGACATTTTATATAGATATTAATTAATATATTTTAATTTTTCTGACCTGCTTTCTGAACACCGCGACACTGTCGTTGACGTAATTGTCTTCTCATTCGAACTAAAAATATTGGGAAAAGTGTACGCTACTTGCGTGAGAGCAAGGCGAACGTAAAATACCGTGAGAATTTATTATGTATTAGTATAATATAATATATATTAAATATTATATATATTAATATATAATAAAATATATATATTAAATATTATATATATATATATTAATATATAATAAAATATAATATATCTAATATAATATAAAAAGTATTAGAATAATCGCGATTCGCGGCTCGCTCAGGGAAATTCACGGCAACCCGAAATTCCGCATTTCCGGGAGAAGGGACCGTAGTAGCTTCGAACTCGCGAAATCACGGGAATCTGGTACAACGGCCGGCGAATTCGGCGGCCCTTTTTTTCCACGAAATCTACCGGGGATTATCGCGTTCCGTCGAATCCGGGACGCGGCTCGATACACCCGCTGCTTTGGCGCCCGGTAAAATATAACCGGCGGGCGGGCGGAGGGGGGGGGGGAGGGAAGCTTTCGCACAGCTTTTCCGACATCCTCGGAAAACCGTTTATCGCAATTAGCCCGTCTCGCAGAGTTCCGCGAATTTATACGTCGATCTCGCCCGGCACCGTTTGCACCGCAAACACCGAATCGGTAATTGCGCGATTCAAGCAACGAGTGTGTGTCCAGTCGACGCCAATGCTTCGTCGAGCACACGATTTTTTTCGCCAGCTCTCGCGAACTCTCGGTCAGTGACGGCGTCAAATGATCAATCATTTTTCGATCAGTGTCTGTAAAGTCTGCGTTTGCAATTTAGAGGACAGTAACGTAGCAGAGCTAGTATTAGTGGGGTAGCCAATTACTGTGTCGTTTGTTTATTTTCAAGCACGATCAACTTTCTATTTATCGTATCGGACATACGGAATTTTGTGGTTTCACTTCGTTTAATGATTTATTTGTTAAAATTGAATGTCAGAAGGACGGAAATTCTTGAAATAAAAATTTGCACGAGACGCGGCAACGTCTTGTTTAATTTTTGATATCGTTTAGTACATGTTTTATATATATATAAATTTAACCCTTTTGCACCATTGTAGACCATGAGTGTCATGTAAATTAATTATTATATAATATTATATTAATTATTATATTATATTAAATTAGTTATTATGTAATCTTATATTAATTATTATATTATATTAAATTAATTACTATATTTATGTGTATATTATATATATTTTATTATATACTCATATTATATATTATATACTGACATTATCTAAGACAACATTGTTTCTTCATCGCACTAAATTGTTTTGCTAGCAATTTAATTATTGGAGTTAATCAGCTTGTACTAAATTGTACAAGCAACAGACAGATCGTAGGAACGTGATTATTCATTTACTGTGCTCACAATATTCTTTATTATCAATTGCTACTACAATGAATCCTGTGTATACCTACGTGCCCATAGCGGCGGTACTATTTATGAATATATTTAATGCTTAAATTTCATCGAGCAGAACGTTGTGTATAGATACCGAAAACAATTAACAACTTCTACGATACTGGAACGGCTATGCGGATAACGTGTACACGACCACAAATGCGGAGGTCGTTGATTCGATTCTTTGCCACGGTTACATTTTTTTGTCCATGTTTTGCATACGAAATTAATACCGGTCCGAAACAATTGTCACGCGCGAGTCGTGAAACGCGGAGAATGTTCGAAAAAAGCGAGAAATTAATTTTATTTTACTTTACTTACACTATCGCGTTCGCATCGTCGTATATCACCGGTGGTACACACACGTAAACATCAAAATAAAAAAGCGCTGCGACGTGACCGTGCGAAAAATGATAGAAATTTAATTCCCAATGAAAAACAAAAAGAGAACAACTTTCACACCGCGGAAAAGAATCGAATCGAAAACTTCCGAATTTGTGGTCCAATGCGTTACCCACATAGCTATTCCAATAACGCAGAAGTTGTTTCTTCTTTTCGGTATCTATACACAACGTTCGGTCCGATGAAATTGAAACATTAAATATCTTTGAGAATATTGCCAATTCACACAAACGTTCGAACGCGACTCAAACGATTTTCAATCTCAATTCATAAGAAAATAAATTCCATTGAAATCAGAGACTCAAAGTCCGTGTGACATCTCCTTGCTAGAAGAATTCTAAATTAACTTGTTCTTTCTTCTCCTACGTACAACGTTCAACGTTTATTTATTTGGGTGTAAACAGCTGCCATATCGTATTCACGTAGAACAATTGAAACGTAAGGAATGCCGCAGACGACCTTGGTTGGAGACAGCGTTAAGATCGCAAGTTTGTAACTACGTAAAATATAAGCAGTTACATGGTTTAAAGGAGTACATTATGTAGTGCATTTATGATTTTTTTTTTATAGGTGGAAGTGTTTCGGAGATTTGAAGATCCACTTTGTTCTCTTAAATAGAATCCCATATTTTTTAAATCAAAATATGGAAGAATATCGAATTCGAAGTAAACAAGTATTGACCTTCGGTAGCCACAAACCAAATAGCTAACGAATAATTTCACTTTATTCCTTGAGAATTTTCTTCGCGTAAGATCAAGTTGGTGATAAGGTTGAATCTCTTTTTTTGTTATTCCAAGAAATAGCAAAGTAAAATAAAGATAGTGTCAGTCATTGTCTAGGAAACTAGTCCTTTCGTCAGCTGAAGAGAATTCAAATCGTTTGGGGCCAATTTGAAAAGTTATTCCGTTTGAAAAACTGTCAACATACTTCACGCGGCTAGTGTATGTCAATTGTGGAAGTCAAATTGTTGGTTAGGATATGAAGATATGAAGAAGCTTTTGTTTCGCAACAGAATTCATGTTCATCCATCGATCTATACGTATGTATGCACCACATATTTAGAGAGAAGTTTCTGGTGTCTTTTTGGTCGATTAGATTTGACACCGTCTCCGGACAGTTTTCAAAATAGCTGTTTCGTGACGGTATCGATGTAACGTTAGAAGCAGAAGATCCCTTATTTTGCTCCAACTACCCAAACAGTTTCGAAAATGAAGCATTTGGATCCAACGGTTTTTCACTGTTAAAAAACACGCTACTTGTTTTAGAGAATTATTTCGGTGCACTTATTTTAAGATGATCCAAATCTCACTTCCGATTTCGAATATAAAAGAATTATTTGTGCCCTCTTCACCGCGTCCGCATTACTTTACGAAATATCAATTTTAAAGCACTCTTGTCCATCGCTCGGGTTACCGCATTCCTTCCATGCTTATTCCTGTTTCTTCGTTTGTGACAAAATAACACGTAGGTCAGGATGATAATAACATTTATTGATGCCCACAGGTGCCGACAAACAAGATACTGCACATAGAAAGTGGACAATATAAAATAGAAGACAACAATAAAGTTGCAGAAGTGATATATAAAATCTCGGAAATACGCATTCCTTTTGGATTAAATCAAGTAACTCTTTGTTAGAAAATCAAGAATAGATTTGACGCAACATATATTGCTACATCAAAACCTCAAGGTTCTCAAAATGGAACTCGATGATATAGTACTTAGCGATTTAGATATACAGAGGATGAGGAATTTTGAGTTATTTTTTGCTTTAAGCAGGACATGGTCAGAGAGACGAATTATTGAAGATGTTGATAACTTGCTAAAGAAGGGTGCAGAAATAAATATTGTAAATCCAGATGGCAATACAATTTTAGATCTTGCACATAAAAAGGATTATATGGATTTAGCTACATTTCTTTCTGGACTAGGTGGTAAGACAGCAGCCGATTTAATGAACTCGCAGCAGCAAATACAGCAGTCTGATTCTGTTGGCAATCAAAAGTTACCGTTACATGTCGCCGCGGAAAGTGGAAATGTAAAAAAGATAGCATCTCTATTGAAACTCGAATTACCAATGAAACAATTCGTTCTTACAGAAGTTCAAGAAAAATTGGTGAATAAAGTTGATGGAGAGGGTAATTCACTATTAACAATAGCTGCTAAAAATGGAAGGAAAGATAACGTAGAATTTTTTATTCGATGTGGAATTGATATCAATCATCTTAATAAAAGAAAAGAGAGTGCTGTAAACTTAGCTTGGAACAATAAGCATTATGATATTGTACATTCATTATTAAAAGCTGATTCGGATCTTCCTGATCGCTTTGATCTAACTGTGCTAAAGAGAGGAAAGGCGCAGAAGGCACTTAAAGAATTTGTTGTTCAAAGATGGAATTCTTTGCATCAACAAATTAAAGAAAATGACATACCAAATATTGGAAGGTATACAAATGTTGTCCATGGACCAAATCTTTATTTAAATAGTGAAGGTCGATCGGCAATGTTTACAGCTCTTGTAAAGAAAAGATTCAAGATTTTTGCGTTTCTTAAATACGCTGGATTCATGTTTAAAAATGAAGATGAAGAAGAATGCCTAAATAAGATTCCTCAAGGAGAAAAAGATATGCTAAGAACAGAAATGATTTTGAAATTTCCTCAAATTGATGATGGACATATTCTTTATTTAACATCAAAATCAAGATCAAGGCTAGAGAAACCTGATGACAAAGAACGAATCGAAAAACTGTATAGGTCTTTGGATGCTATTCCTGAAGTTTCAACAATTCTTAAAGTGGTACAATATATAGATTATCTTGACATAGTTTTTGATTTTGATAATGAAAACAACAACGATATTAATCCTACTGCTTCGAAAGCTACAAAAGGAACTACTAATTATAGTAACGGTAAAATTTACATAGCAGCTAAGATAGAAGAAAATAAACTATTAGGCACTTTAGCTCATGAGTTAACGCATCTTGCAATGTACAACCTATATAAAAATGATTGCAATCCATTTGAGAAATCAGAAATAGCTAAAAGGCAATTATTTGCAGAAATAACAGCAAAGATTAAAGAATATACAAAAAATACAGTTCAGATAATAAACAGCAATACTGAAGACAGTCCGCTCATAATTTTAGCAAGAGCATTTACATATCCAGAGGATGAGCAGCAGTCTGAACTAATTGCAAGGATTCCACATATCCTTGCACAATATCATGATGAAGGAAAAAGATGGTTGCTTAATACAGATAAAGAAATCAAATTGCTTTTCGATTACTACAGCGATCAAGCAGAAGGAGGAACAACATATCGATGTAAGAAATTCATTGAAAACAGCTTTTTAATTAAGCCAAGGTGTACTATCCAAATTCTTAATGAATATTTAGGAGAAATAAACAATGTAATGAAATGTGGGCTAAATTTGGAATGTTTCATACAGTTTAATGACTTTCTAGAGTCATACCAACAAGTTCTTGTTCTAAAAACGGAGAACACGTTGTTAAGCATTTTAAGTATTTATGAAAGCTTAATATTTGAAAATGAAAAATATATTATAAAAGATAGTCTTTTTTCAGAATTCAATTCTTATAGAGAGAAGCAAGACAAAATCAACAACATATTCTACTCTATAGGAGGTAGAATGTTATGTATAAGATGTCCCTACGATTCAAATATGGAAAGTTTATCGGAGACTTTAGATATTTTAAATACGCTTTTAGAACAAAAATCAAATAAAAAGATCGTTTTCATACTAGCAGATTGTAAAACAAAGGAATTCTGGGATATCAAAAGAGTGTTTAACATGAGATGTTATAAAAATGTAGCAAACCACAAGTTCAGATTGATTGACCTGACTAAAAAATCACAGCAGAAGCTCTGGGATCGAGAAGTGATATTTCAAGGACAAACGATTAGTTTGAACAAATTAATAGATAAATCGGATAGAAATGCGGAACAAATACTCAATGAGAAAATATTAGAAAGACTTATTACTAATGAGGAAATCAAGATAGGTAGTATACCATTAGGCACAACTGATTTAGAAGCAGCATATTCCGAATTAATTGAGGAAGTGAATATGGAATCTTTCATTAATAATTTATTATCAGAAGAATCAAGTGATATTTCCATTATTAGTGGTATACCTGGTGTAGTCACGGAGAATAAGTTAATTGAATACCTAGTAAATGCAGATATAGATATTAGTAAAAAATCAAAACTTAATGATCTTGTAAGTCGAATAGCAGTATTGGACAAAGATCTTACCAGAGCTATTGACAATAGAATACAATTAGCCGATGATCAATTTATGAAAGGAGACTTTAGGCAAATATGTCGATACAATCGAGGAAGAAAAATTTATTGGATTAATATAAAACATGAGGACAGCGCATTTAAATTTATATTAGAAGAAATTTATAATCCTGATTTTTACCTAAAAGGTGACAGATTTAATAACGAAGTAGCTATCGAGAAGAATATAAAAGTACAGTTAGGCAGTTCTGCGCTTTCTGAAATATTTATTATCGGTAACAAAAGCAGAGGGGAGTTAACAAAATGGCTTCAATTTAGTGATGCTGGAGAACAACTAGACTTTCAAATAAATTGCAACAATCATAGGATTGTGATCCTAAATAATCAAGATAATATGTCAGCCACTTTTCAAAAACTAATTGTACAAAATCCCGATCAAACGTATCACTTGCTTAAGTTTGAACGAGATCAGCTTATTTGGTGCAAAACTCATGGCACGTTAGAGAATTTATGCACATATAGAGCTAAAGATTATAGGAATACTAAACCTTTAATGGGAGAAGATGACTTAATTAAGAAAATTAAAGATGATAAAGTGGTAATCATCGTTGGTGATCCAGGAATAGGCAAAACTACCGCTTTGGTTAAGTTATATGAGTCACAGTATGCGTCCGAGTCTGGTACAAACGAGTCGATAATTAACTCGCATTGGTTGATTATGGTCAATCTAAAAGATCATCTAGACGCAATAAGAGCCATTGATTTTAGTGTTCCAACGGAAATAGTGAAAAAAATAGGAGATTTTTTATCGCAAGTTGATAACAGTTTAAGCGATAATTTTACCAGACAATTACTAGATATGGCGCTAACGACGCCGAATTTTGCGCAGCCTTTATTAATAGTACTCGATGGATTTGATCAAGTTTTAGATGAAACAGATAGATGTAAACTTATCTCGTTATTGGAACATTTAAAAGATAAAACTGAAGCTAAATATTGGATTACTACTCGTCCCCATTATCAGCAGGATTTAGAAAGAGCAGTATCAACGTTTGCTATAAAGCTTGCTCCGATGGATGATGAAAGAACAACCGCATTCATTGTAAAGTACTTAAAGAATCATCTAATTCTCAGTTTAAGTCATAAGGAGTTTCGAAGCATCTTCGGCATTAGCGTTAAAATAGTAGAGAATACGAGGTTGCAAGATTACACCAAGGCATTCTTAAGTAAAATGCACGAATTATTTGTAAGTAAGCTCATCGGGACACCGTTACAGCTCTATTTAATGGTAGAAGGTTCCGCAAGATATTTTAAAGAGTGGATGCGACACGTTGATGGTGGAAGCCTAGACTTCAGTGATCTAGGCAACAGCGTATGGGAGGTGTATGAAAAGTTTGTCGACAGGAAATATAATATTCATTTTAAGAAAACTAAAATTAATGAGCATCTAACGCAGGAGCTGGATAAAATAATTTTCGATTCTTATCACAAAGCTGTAACTAAATCTTTCATTTTTGCATCGGCGCCGAGACAACCATTAGAAGATTTTAAAGGTATAGTGCTACCGGCTGGTATTATCAAATCTCACGGTAGCAATCTGGAGTTTGTGCACTCAACGTTTAGAGACTTCTTTGCTGCTAAGGTGGTCTACAATTGGACAGTAAAATGGAAAGCGGGGGACCACAGTAAACCTACGCACTCACAAAACCAAGAATACTTATTGAAGGTGGTTTTGATAAAGTCAGATTATCAAATGATTCGGGCATTTCTCAACAGTAAACTCCTAAAAGATAAAATGACAAATATACATCTGCAAGCAAAGTATTATGATAAAGAAGTTTTGTTTGTAGCAGCCAAGGAAGGCAACGTGGGAATCGCCCGATTTGTGTTGGATAATTCAGAACATGCTTCGAGCAACATAAACGACGTTAAAGACGATAATGGAAAAACGGTCTTGCACGTGGCAGCTGCTTCTAACAGATTGGATATGTTGAAATTTCTGATAGATGAGAAACAGGCCGATTTTGATGTTAGAGACGACAATGGTAACTCGGTTTTGCATGTGGCTGTTAAACGTGGTTACTTTGAGATCGTTAAATATCTGGTGAACGAGAAACAGGCGGATTTTAGTGCTGAAAACAATAACGGCGTAACAATTTTGCACTTGGCAGCATGCTTCGATTATTTGGAGATTCTGAGATTCCTGATAGACGAGAATCAGGCCGATTTTGATGTCAGGGACAATGGTGGCAGAACAGTTTTGCAAATGGCCGTTGTTGCTGGTAACTTGGACATCGTTAAATTTCTGATAAATGAGAAAGAGGCAGATATATTTGTTAAAGACAATAACGGTAACACGGCTTTACACTTGGCTGCCAGCTGCGGCCACTTGGACGTGGTTAAATTTCTGATAAACGAGAAGAAGATCGATTTCTATATTCAAAACGATAACGGCACAACGGTGTTGCACTCGGCCGCCGTTTCCGGCAGCTTGGAAATGGTTAAATATCTGATAGACGAAAAGAACGCCGATTTCAATGCCAAGGACATCGATGGTAGCGCGGTGCTGCACTTGTCCACCAGCTGTGGTCACTTGCACATCGTTAAATATCTGATCAACGAGAAGATGGCCGATTACAATGTTCAGAACGGCGAGGGCGCGACGATCTTGCACACGTCTGTCTGCTTCGGTTTCTTGGAAGTGGTTAAATTTCTGATAAACGAGAAAGGGGCAGATTGTCGATCTAGAAGCAAGGAGGGCAAATCGATTTTGCATTTGGCTGGCAGCCACGGTTACTTGCACATCGTTCAATTTCTGATACTCGAAAAAGGCGTCGATTTTAATGATAGAGACAACAACGGTAACACGGTTCTGCACTTCGCTACACAGTCTCGTCGCTACGACGTGGTTAAATTTCTGTTAAGCGAAGGAATGGCCGACGTGAACACCGTAAACAACAACGGCACAACGATTTTGCACACAGCTGCTTATTCCGACGAGGCGGAGATGCTTAAATATTTGGTAATCGAGAAACAGGCCGATATCTGCGTCAGAGACAATGCGGGCAACACTGTTCTGCACTTGGCTGCCGGCCGTGGTCACTTGGACATGGTTAAATTTCTGGTAAACGAGAAAAACGCGGATGTGAATGCTCGAGACAACGATGGCACGTCGATTTTGCACAAGGCTGCCGCCTTTGGTTCCATCGAGATTGTTAAATTTCTGGTGATCGAAAAGAATGCCGATTTCGAGGTTAGAAACATTAAAAGCCAAACGGTTTTACATTTCGCCGCCAGCAATGGCCACTTGGCGGTGGTGAAATTTCTGATAAACGAGAAAAATGCCGATTTCAATGTCCAAGACGTGGAGGGTGCCAAAATTTTGCAACTCGCCACACGGTTTGGCCACTTGGACGTGGTTAAATTTCTGGTAAACGAGAAACAGATCGATTTTAATGCTCAAAACTATGATGGCACAACGAACGTGTACTTAGCTGCTTATTACGGTCACCTGAATATAGTCCAATTTCTGGTAGACGAGAAAAATGCCGATTTTAAGGTTAAAGACCATGCTGGCAGAACGATTTTGCAATTGGCTGTCAGCAGTGGTCAATTGGAGATGGCTAAATTTTTGATAAGTAAATACCAGGCCGAAACTGATTCTACAGAGTTCAATGTTAGCACGTATTTACACTTGGCTGCCAGCTCTGGTCACTTGGACGTGGTGAAATTTTTGGTGAACGAGAAGATGGTCGATTTTAATATGAAAGACGCCGAGGGCGACACAATTTTGCAGTTGGCTATTAACGCCGATCGCTTGGACATGGTTAAATTTCTGATAAACGAGAAAAACGCCGATTTCACTGCCAAAGACGAAGACGGCACTACAATTTTGCACATGGCTGTTTGCTTTGGTAGCTTGAAGATCGTTAAATTTCTGATAAACGAGAAAGAGGCCGATTTTAATGCTACAGACGACGATGGCATATCGATTCTGCACGCGGCCGTTAGCTGCGGTCACTTGAATATAGTGAAATTTCTGGTAAATAAAAAGAAAGTCGATTTTAATATTAACGACAATAATGGCACGTCAGTTTTGCACATGGCTGCTTGTTTCGGTCACTTGGATATAGTGAGGTTTCTGACGAATGAGAAAGACGCCGACGTCAATATTAGCAACAATAATGGCAAGACAGTTTTGCACTTGGCCGCTTGGTCCGGTCACTTGGAGATAGTTAAGTTTCTGGTGAACGAAAGAAATGCCGATGTGAATGCCAAAGACGAAGATGGCAAGACAGTTTTGCACGTGGCTGCTATCTGCGGTCACTTGGATATGATTAAATTCCTGGTAGACGAAACAGAGGCCGATTTGTTTTCTGCGGACAATATTGGCAGAACAATTTTCCACGTGGCTGTTAAATGCGTGGCTGAATTCCTGAGAAACAGTGGGTCTGTCGCAGCCAGGAGGAAGAGATAGAAGTTTCACCTGGTTCGGCAAGTATTTGTAAGCTGAGTAATAGTGGAAGAGCTATTTCACGAACTAGTTAGGAGCGAGTCATACAATGTTGCATAAAGGAGGAAAAAGAATCTAGCGAGCAAAATGTCGTGGACTTGGGTAAGTGGCATTAAGTAAGGAATTGTGAATCTTTTTCATAAGGCTGTAATTATAATAAGTTAATGATTAAATATGTTGTTTTAAGCGATACATGATACACACAGCGTATTCAGCGCATTCAGAATAGCCATCGTTTTTAAGATATTTTCAAAAATCTGTCGAAGAACTGTTTTGTATAAAAATTAAGTATTCTTCAATTCTAAGTATTCTTAAATATTCTTTTTCTAAAATTCACTTCACAATGTTGTAGCAGAGTGGAATCCTTCCATTTACTATATCATTACTTTTAGATGACTTCGCATTCACAAAAATTAGGTAAGATCAGCACAGAAGGTATTATTGTTATATTGTTAGATTTGTCTACCAGTTTTATTAGTTTATAATGAACATGTAATTTGATTAAGAAATTATCAATTAATTTTCCATATTATCCTTTTTGTTAATCAAACCCTCATTTCTGAACTCAAGGTGTTGCGAAGTCAAAAATATTATGGTGTCATTTAATTAATGTCAGGCTCGCCTTAATTTTCATAGGGAGAACATAATTTTATGTGCATTCTACACAGATTATCCTTCACAGATTATTGGAAATGTCTAAATAATGATGGTCCATCTAAATAAATAAATCCTACATTTGGCCTTGAAAATTTGAATTTGTAAATAAATGTGAAAATGCTGCGGGATCGCCTCTGTTTTAATAACGTATCCTAACATCGCCACCCACCTCCTGAAGTTCCCATCACTCGACTGATACACTACTGTGAGATACACAGCAATTTTGTTTGTTTGTTTTTTTGTTGTTACTTTGTTCGCACATGCATAAGATTCATCAATTGTTAGGCTTTTGCTACACTGGTGGCTGCATTTAAGTATAGTTCTGTCGTATAGCTAAAGCATTGCATCATAATTTATTATATAAATATATTTGATATTTGTTTTTTTATATATATATATTATTTTTATATATATTATATTTGATTGTTTTGTTTCTTTACATCCACTTTTAATAAATAATGCATACGCGGTTCGTGACGGTCACCTTGAAGAATGTTAATAATGTAATATTAATAATTAATAATGTAATAAAAAAGGAACAGAGAAAAAGGCGGAAGAGGCAGAAAAGCGACAAGGAAAGACAATTGAAACCAGCGTTTGAAATGAAGATAAAACTGGATGAAACGACCGAAAGATGGCCGAATGGACTTTTAAGTATTTTTTTATTGTCGAATCGGGTTATCAGCGGCGAGCCGTGCGATTCGTTCGCTTAAAGAGAGGAATTTTCCGGATATCGTGGCTATCAGTTTCGAACGCACGGATCGCACAGGACCATAAAGGAAACGGATAGAACGTTCGCTTGACGGGGAACAAAAACGGGGGACGCGACGGTCGGTTGTTTCCGAGTTTCGTGTCGGTGCTTTTCCGCGGCGCGCGCGCGCGCGCGGGAGAAAAACCAGGGTTCCCTTGAAAATCCCGGCGATTCGTTTTCCTTGGCGATTGATTTAGTCACCGGTCCGGATTTAATCCGCTGCCGCGCGACGTCGCCGGAATAACGAGTACCGTAGACAATTTTCTTCCCTGGGAATCTCGTTTACCGGGTATTACCTATAAACATTGCTCGGGGATGTGCAAATATTGCACTTTCCGGCAGCGAGCCGTGCCACGACAATGTTTTCCCTCCTTAATCGCGAGATCGAAGCAGTATTTGAAAATTCCAAATAATTAATAATTTCGAAATATTCGAAGCAACCTAATGCACTGTTATGAAAATATCCAAAATGTTCGCAGTTGAATTATTAGACACTCTTTTGTGTCCCCCTTGACTTATTAATTTTCTTCACGGTTACGCGATTCTTATAATTTTCTTTCCTTTTTTCTTTTTTTTTTTATTGTAATAATTTATTAGAGTCCAGTTCGAGAGAAGCGATCGCGTTTTACGAGGAATTCTAAAAAACATTGTCGTTCGACCAGCTGGATCGACGAAATAGCCCGCCGTGCGTCGCACCGTTTAAGCCGATGTAACCGATGGATAAGGGAGCCAATTTCCGCAGCGCACCAGCAAAAACTATCCTTTTTTCTCTCTCTCTCCCTCTCTCTCTCTCTCTCTCTCTCTCTCTCTCTTTCTCTCTGCTCGGAGAGGGAACATTTTTTGAAAGGTCCGGTTAAACACACACCTGATACCGCCTATCTCTGCCGCCGAGTGCGCCTCTTTGTTTTGTTCCCCGTTTTGCGCCGGGCTTCTGTATCGCTCGCGAAACGGACAACGGGGGCCGCGCGCAAAAACCACCAGCGAAAATGCGATCGACGTCTCGCACGCTATTGGCCGGCCAAATCTCCGATAACCAACTGTTAAAAAATATATATATATACGTAACATAACATGCCTTATACAATATACAAGGTGTCCCAAAAATGTCTCGCAATCCGAAAGTGACGGGTTCCTCGGGTAGTCCGAAGCAACTTTTTCCTTTACAAAAATGTTCTCCGAGGCACCGTTAACGAGTTATTAACGATAAACGGTGACCAATGAGAGGCGCGCTCGACTGGCGCTAAGCGGCCGAGCCAATCAGCGGAACCGGACTTCGAACGCGCGAGACGGCCGAGCCAATGAGCGAACGAAGCCCAGTTCCGCTCATTGGCCGCCTCGCGCTCGGCCGAGCTCGCCTCTCATTGGTCACTGTTTCTCGTTAATAACTCGGTAAACGAAGCCGCGCATTGCATTTTCGTTAAGGAAAAAGTTGCTTCGAACGATCTCAGGAATCCCCTAGTTTCGGATTGCGAGACATTTTTGGGACAGCCTGTACAACACCGGGATACCTAAACGAGAGATCCTCGACTCTCGAGGGTCGCTTCGATCCGTATCAAAGCACAGCAGGACAATAAAGACGGGATCTGAATAGGCTGTAGGTGACTCGCGCGAGGTGTAAGCTCGAGGAGATTGTCTTCGGCGTCGTTTCCAGGGATTATGGAAAATCCAGTCGCTAGACAAGCTCCCTTTCTCTTTCCCCCTCCCCACTCCCCCAGTAGAAATGGTAATCTTCGAGAACACTTTTCGTTTCAGCCGCGCGGAACGCTGCGATAGAGCTCTATGTTATTCTTCTCGCGTCATTCGATGCTTTGCGAAGATATATTGATGCGACTCGATCAAAGCGAACGAACTCGGCAGAATGTTTAATCGAGATCCTCGATAATAGGACGTTTCGTTTCAGAGGCCGATACAAGTTTGACGAGAATATGCGTTTAGATGGAAGCCCGCAGGTAACTGTACGTTGACGTTTTTACGTTTATAGACGATCGAAGGAAGTGGCCGGATATGATACGTGGCTTCTAATCGAATTGATTTTTGTTTAGACCATTCGATAAATAAGTTAGTAAATTCTCCCTAATTGACCCGTAGCTTGGAATCAAAAGTGGACAATTTGGGAAGAGGTTATGAAAGAGGTATGATTAATTGAGTTTTGCGGATTGTTTTTAAAATTATTGACAATCGTATCTCCTCTTACCATAATTGTCCATTTTTGTGTACAATCTGAGGGTCAATTAGGGAGAATTTACCGTACCACACTAGAGAACGCTTTCGAATAAATCGCTCCTTTAATTCGATATTAAAATGCAGTGACTTTCGCGAATATTCGGACACTTTTAAAAATACAATAACTTTTTTAGAACTGGACTAAACGACTTGAATTTTTTTTTTAGATGATAGAGTCTGCCAGAATATAATTAGATTATACTTGTTTAAAATTTTGCTGTTGCTTAGAATGGCAAAAGGATATAAAAAATCTCTCGTGTTTTAAACTTTCTTATTCGAGCCTATAACGAAAATTTCAAAAATGTATTTTGTAGATCTCGGTGAGTTATACGCGTGTTAAAAATTTCACCGAAATCGGTTGACCTTTGTTGCGAGCTGTAAACAATTAAAGATCGCGAAAAACACTTTCGACCAAATAAGCGTGAGAAATTAGCAGTTTTTACGATCTTTCAACGCTTGTACCTTGACTTTGCGTTAACCGATTTCGATGAAATTTTCAGCATAAATATATGTATAAATTACCGAAATCTACAAAATGCATTTTTTTAATTTTCGTTACAGGCTCAGACAAAAAATAATTAGAAACCGAGAGTCTTTTATTTCGTTTATTAATAGCAAAATTGTGACAAAATAGCTCAGTCATTATCTAGTATACTAGTTATTTATTCAACCATCTAAATAACATTCAAATCTAGTTTCTAGTTTTCTTGTAGTTTTAACAAAGTTATTTCATCTTAAAAATTGTCCGAATATTAATGGAAGTTACTGTATGCCTAAATAATGAAGCATAAAGAAAAAGGCATTTAAACTTTTATTCTCCACATAATAATTTGATTTTCGAGGATAACGAAGTATTAAGAGAGATACAGAACAAAAGAGTGCGAATAAATGAATATTTGTAACTCTATTATTAAATATAGTTGTTACTAAAAAAAAGTAGGAATCGCAACAATATCATTACTACAGAATTATTTCTCGCCAATCATACCCTTATCATTCGACATAACTGAAATATTAATTTACCAAGTTAGCTAATTAATTACAGCTCATAGCTGTAGCGTGTGCAAAGAAAACGATCGGGTTGTTCCGCGGGTCCGTGTACCGTTCCGAAAATTCGAAGCGCAATCAGGCGACGACGAAGCCGGTGAAAGAGGGATCCGCCGATCGGGAATATTAAAAGTTCCCGTCGGGGAGCCGTAAATGAGTAGTAGCCGGGGCTGGCTGGTTCGCGGAACGTCGGAGCGGAATGCAACGCAAACAAAGGGGCGGACCGATGAAAACCGAAAAACCGAAAAAGCCAACGTATCCATCGGGGCTCCGTGCCGCGCCGCGGCGAAAGAGACTGTTGCACCCGGGCCCGGGCTATTCAAGACAACGAAATACAATATTCGGCCGCTCGTTTCCGCCGCCCCGGGCTCCCTTTGTTGCGGGAAACCGCCCGCGGCGCGCGGTCGACGCGCCGAATATCTCGCCGTTGCATTGCGTTGTGTGTTGCGTTGCATGCGGAACAGGATCCGCCGCCGGAATTTCGCGGGCACCGTCGATTTAGACGGCCGAAATTATTTTTATTGTTTGTTTTATTAAATGCCCGGTTTTACGAGGATTTATGACAAAATTTACACAATTTTAGCATAAAAGATTATACCAATGCATCCTGTTAACGGTTCGATCGGTTTTTAAAGTAATAAACTAAATATAAAATAAATATAAAATAAATATAAAATATAAAATAAATATAAAATATAAACCAAAAATGAATAGGGCACAAACTATTATGTGTATAAATTGTGAAGATGACGAATAAAAAATAATTTTCCTCCATTTCGCATTAATTTTATTATCATACCTATCCATTAAATGTATAATAATGCATGATTGTAACAGGAGAACTGCAAAGATATTTTTAATGTTTAAGATTTGTCGGACCTCTCTAAAGTTGCGTATAAATACCGAAAACAATTAACAACTTCTACGATACTGGAATGACTGTATATGAGTAACGTGTAATTCGACCGCAAATGCGGAGATCGTTGATTCGATACTTTGCCACGGTTACATTTTTTTGTCCATGTTTCGCATACGAAATTAATACCGATCCGAAACAATTATCACGCGCGAGTCGTGAAACGCGGAGAATGTTCGAAAAAAGCGAGAAATTAATTTTATTTTACTTTACTTACACTATCGCGTTCGCATCGTCGTATATCACCGGTGGTACACACACACACAAACATCAAAATAAAAAAGCGCTGCGACGTGACCGTGCGAAAAAAATAGAAACTTAATTCCCAATGAAAAACAAAAAGAGAACAACTTTCACACCGCGGAAAAGAATCGTATCGAAAACCTCCGAATTTGTGGTCCAATGCGTTACTCACATAGCTATTCCAATAACGCATAAGTTGTTTCTTCTTTTCGGTATCTATACACAACGTACGGTCCGATGAAATTTAAACATTAAATATCTTTGAAAATATTGCCAATTCACACAAACGTTCGAACGCGACTCAAACGATTTTCAATCTCAATTCATAAGAAAATAAATTCCATTGAAATCGGAGACTCAAAGTCCGTGTGACATCTCCTTGCTAGAAGAATTATTTATTTGGGTGTAAACAGCAGCCATATCGTATTCACGTAGAACAATTGAAACGTGAAGAATACCGCAGACGACCTTGGTTGGAGACAGCGTTAAGATCGCAAGTTTGTAACTACGTAAAATATAAGCAGTTACATGGTTTAAAGGAGTACATTACGTAGTGCATTTATGTTTTTTTTTTTTTATAGGTGGATGTGTTTCGGAGATTTGAAGATCCACTTTATTCTTTTAAATAGAATTCTATATCTTTTACATAAAATATGGAAGAATATCGATTGCCGAGTAAAAATGTATTGACCGTTATTAGCCCGAAATCTAACAGCTAACGAGTAAGTTAACTTTATTTCTTGAAAATTTTCTTCACGTAAGATCAAGTTGGTGATAAGGTTGAATCTCTTTTTTTGTCATTCCAAGAAATAGCAAAGTAAAGAAAAGGTAGTATCAATCATTGTCTAGGAAAGTAGTCCCTCTGTCACCTGAACAGAATTGAAGTCGTTTGTGCCAATTTGAAAAGTTATTCCGTTTGAAAAACTGTCAACATACTTCACGCGGCTAGTGTATATCAGTTGCGGAGTGAAATTGTTGGTTAGGGTATGAAGATATGAAGAAGCTTTTGTTTCTCCACAGAATTCATGTTCATCCATCGATCTATACGTATGTATGCACCAAATATTTAGAGAGAAGTTTCTGGTGTCTTTTTGATCGATTTAGTTTTGACACAGTCTTCAGACAGTTATCAAAATAGCTATTTCGTGACGGTGTCGATGTAACGTTAGAAGCAGAAGATCCCTTATTTTGCTCCAACTACCCAAACAGTTTCGAAAATGAAGCATTTGGATCCAACGGTTTTTCACTGTTAAAAAACACGCTACTTGTTTTAGAGAATTATTTCGGTGCACTTATTTTAAGATGATCCAAATCTCACTTCCGATTTCGAATATAAAAGAATTATTTGTGCACTCTTCACCGCGTCCGCTTTAGTTTATGAAATATCAATTTTAAAGCACTCTTGTTCATTGCTCGGGTTACTGCATTCCTTTCATGCTTATTCCTGTTTCTTCGTTTGTGACAAAATAACACGTAGGTCAGGATGATAATAACATTTATTGATGTCAACAGGTGCCGACAAGCAAGATACTGCACATAGAAAGTGGACAATATAAGATAGTGGATGTCGATAAAGTTGCAGGAGTGATACCTAAAACCTCAGAAATACGCATTCCTTTTGGAATAAATCAAGTAACTCTTTGTTAGAAAATCAAGAACAGCAGCAGGTAGATTTGACGCAACATATATTGGTATATCAAAACCTCAAAGTTCTCGAAATGGATCTTGGTAGTATAAGAATGAGCAAAGAAGATATACAGAAGCTGAGGAATTATGAATTATTTTTTATTGTACACAAAAATATGTCGGAGGAACAAATTATTGAACAAATTCGAAACTGTCTACAGAATGGTGCAGAAATGAATGTTCTAAATGAAGAGGGCAAAACAGTTTTAGATGTCGCACGTAGTAAAAATTATGAGAATTTAGTTATATTTCTTTCTGGACTAGGTGGTAAGACAGCATTTGATTTAATTAATTCGCAGCAGCAAATACAGCAGTCGACTGATACGGATTCTGCTGATGATCAGGAAGTAGGGTTACAATTACACTTCGCTGCGACATGTGGAAATGTAAAAGAAATAGCATCTGTAATTAAACTCCGATTACCATTAGAAGAAATTACTCTTACGGAAGCTCAACTCAAATTGTTGAAACAAGTTAATGATAATGGTGATACGCTATTAGCAGTAGCTGCTAAAAATGGAAGAAAAGATAACGTAGATTTTTTTATTCAATGTGGAATTGACATAAATCATCTGAATAAATTAAAAGAGAGCGCTGTAGACTTAGCTTGGGATAATAAGCATTATGATATTGTACTTGCATTATTAGAAGCTGACTCGAATTTGCCTAATCGCTTTGATCTAACTGTGCTAAATGAAGGAAATGCTCAGAAGGAACTTAAAGAGTTTGTTGTTGAAAGATGGAATTCTTTCCATAAACAAATTAAAGAAAACTGCTTAGAAGATATTAAAGATATTACGAATGCTGTTCAAGGACGAAATCTTTATTTAAATAGTGAAGGTCAATCGGCAATGTTTACAGCTCTTGTAAACAAAAGATTCAAGATTTTTGCGTTTCTTAAATCCGCTGGATTCATGTTTAAAAATGAAGATGAAGAAGAATGCATAAATAAGCTCACACAAGTAGAAAAAGATATGCTAAGAATAGTAATGATTTCGAAATTTCCTCAAATTGATGATGAACATATTCTTTATTTAACATCAAAATCAAGATCAAGGTCAGAGAAACCTGACGACAAGGAACGAATCGAAAAACTTTATAGGTCTTTGGATGCTATTCCTGAAGTTTCAACAATTCTTAAAGTGGTACAATATATAGATTATCTTGACATAGTTTTTGACTTTGATAATGAAAACAACAACGATATTAATCCTACTGCTTCGAAAGGAACTACTGATTATAGTAACGGTAAAATTTACATAACAGCTAAGATAGAAGAAAATGAGGTATTAGGCACTTTAGCTCATGAGTTAACGCATCTTGCAATGTACCTGTCTCTTATACACATCTAGATGTGTATAAGAGACAGGTATTAAGCAACCATCTTCTTCCTTCATCATGATATTGTGCAAGGATATGTGGCTGTCTCTTATACACATCTAGATGTGTATAAGAGACAGGTATTAAGCAACCATCTTCTTCCTTCATCATGATATTGTGCAAGGATATGTGGCTGTCTCTTATACACATCTAGATGTGTATAAGAGACAGGTATTAAGCAACCATCTTCTTCCTTCATCATGATATTGTGCAAGGATATGTGGCTGTCTCTTATACACATCTAGATGTGTATAAGAGACAGGTATTAAGCAACCATCTTCTTCCTTCATCATGATATTGTGCAAGGATATGTGGCTGTCTCTTATACACATCTAGATGTGTATAAGAGACAGCCACATATCCTTGCACAATATCATGATGAAGGAAGAAGATGGTTGCTTAATACAGATGAAGAAATCAAGTTGCTTTTTGATTACTACAGCGATCAAGCAGAAGGAGGAACAACATATCGATGTAAGAAATTCATTGAAAACAGCTTTTTCATTAAGTCAAGGAGTAGTATCCAAGTTCTTAATGAATATTTAGGAGAAATAAACAATGTAATAAAATATGGGATACATTTGGAACATCCTATTAATCTTAATAACTTCCTAAAGTCAAACAAACAAGTTCTTCTTCTAAGAACGGACAGCACGTTGTTAAGCATTTTAAGTGTTTATGAAAGCTTAGAAATTGAAAATAGAAATTATTCTATACGAGATAGTCTTTTCTCAAACTCCAATTTTTATAGAGAGGTGCGATACAAAATCTACAACCTACTCTGTTCTGCAGCAGCTAAAATTCTATGCATAAGATATTCCTTCGATTCAGATACGGAAAGTTTATCAAAGGTTTTAGAAATTTTAAATACGCTTTTAACACAAAAATCAGATAAAAAGATCGTTTTCATAATAGCAGATTGTAAAGTGATGGAATTCAATAAAATCAGAAGAGTGTTGTACAAAAGATGTTACAAAAAAACGATAGCCCACAAGTTCACATTGAATGACCTAACTGAAGAATCACAGCAAAAGCTCTTGCAACGAGAAGTGATATTGCAAGGAGAAAAGATTAGTTTGAGCAAATTAATAGATAAATCGGATAGAAATACGAAACGAATAATTGATGCAGAAACGTTACAAAGACTCATTACTAATGAAGTAATCAAGATAGGTAGTATACCATTAAGCATGATTGACTTAGAAGGAGCATATTCCGAATCAGTTGAGGAAGTAAATATGGACACTTTCGTTGACAAATTATTATCAGAAGAATCAAGTGATATTTACATTGTTAGTGGGATACCTGGCTTAGTCACGGAGAATAAGTTAATCGAATACCTAGTGAATGCAGATATAGGTATTAGCAAAAAATCAAAACTTAATGATCTCAAAAGTCGAGTAGCGGTATTGAACAAAGATCCTACCAGAGCTGTTAACAATAGAATACAATTAGCCGATGATCAATTTAAGAAAGGAGACTTTAGGCAAATATGTCAATACAATCGGGAAAGAAAAATTTATTGGATTAAACTAAAACATGAGGGCAACGTATCTAAATTCATGCTACAACAAATCTATAATCCTGATTTTTACTTAAAAAGTGACAGATTTAATAATGAAGTTGTTATTGAGAGGAATATAAAAGAAATGTTGGTCAATTCTACATTTTCCGAGATAGTTTTTATCAGTTGCAAAAGCAAGCAGGAGTTCAGAAAATGGCTTAAATTTAGTGATATTGGAGAACAAATGGATTTTCAAGCTAATTGCAATAATCATAAGATTAAGTTCCTAAATTACCAAGATGATATGTCAGCGACTTTCCTAAAACTAGTTACGCGATATGACGATCGAACGTTTCACTTGCTCAAGTTTGAACGAGATCAGCTTATTTGGTATAAAACTCATGGTTCATTGGTGAATTTAAGTAATTATAGAGCTACAGATTATAGGAATGCTAAACCTTTAATAGGAGAAGATGACTTAATTAAAGAAATTAAAGATGATAAAGTGGTGATCATCGCTGGTGATCCAGGAATAGGCAAAACTTCTGCTTTGGTTAAGTTATATGAGTCACAGTATGCGTCCGAGTATGGTATAAAAGAGTCGATAATTAACTCGCATTGGTTGATTACAGTGAATCTAAAAGATCACCTAGATGCACTAAGAGACATTGATTTTACTGTTCCAACGGAAATAGTAAAAGAAATAACAATTTTTTTGTCACAAGTTGATAAAGGTATAAGCGATGATTTTACATTAAAATTGCTATATACTGCGCTAGTAAAGTCGAATTTTAGGAAGCCTTTATTAATAGTACTCGATGGATATGACGAAGTTTTAGAGAAAGAGGATAAAGATGTACTTACCTTATTAGTGGAATATATAAAAGATCAAACTAATGCTAAATTATGGATTACTACTCGTTTCCTTTATCAGCAGACTTTAGAGAATGCGGTATCAACATTTGCTACAAAGCTTGAACCGTTCGACGATGTAACAACATTCAAACTCATTGAAAAGTACTTAAAGAATCATCTAAGCCTCATTTTAAGTCACGAGGAGTTTCAAAGCATCTTCGGCAACAGCGTTGAAATAATAGAAAATACGAGGTTGCAAGATTACACCGAAGCATTGTTGAGTAAAATGGACGAATTATTTGTAACTAAGCAAATTGGAAGACCGTTACAGCTCTATTTAGTGTTGGAAGGTTCCGCAAGATATTTGAAAAAGTTGCCATATTATGTTAACGATGAAAGCCCGGACTTTAGTTATCTGGGCAATGACATGCGGGAAGTATTTGAGAATTTTGTTGATAGGAAATATAGTTTTCATTTTGAAAAAGTTCAAGTTCACGAGCGAATGACACAGGTGTTGGATAAAGAAATTTTCGGTTACTATCATAAAATACTATCACAATCTCTAATTGCTTCATTAGGAGCAAATAAAGATATCGAAGAATTCAAACACATACTGCTATCGGCTGGGATTATTAAATCTGACGGCAGCAATATTCAGTTTATACATTCAACGGTTGGTGACTTCTTCGCTGCTGAAGTGTTCTTCACTTGGATATTAAAATGGAAAGCAGAGGATCTCAATAAACCAATAAACTTAAACACTCAGGAATATATGTTAAATGAGATTTTATCGAAGGCAGATTATCAAGTGATTCGGACATTTTTAAACAGTAAACTCCTGAAGGAGAACGTGACAAATATACAGCTGCAAGAAAAATATTATGATAAAGAAATTTTACTTCTAGCAGCTAAGGAAGGTAATATAGGAATCACAAGTTTTGTGTTGGACAATTCATATCATTTGAATAACATTTATGCTGCTACATGCGATCAAGGCAGGACACTTCTGCACGTGGCAGCTGATTCTAATCAGTTTGACATGGTGAAATTTCTGGTGAATAGAGGACTGACCGATTTTAATGCTAAAGACAACAACGGTAGCACAGCTTTGCATATGGCTGCTAGACATGGTTACGTGGACATAGTTAAATATCTGGCGAATGAAAATCTGGTCGATATTAATGCTCAGGACAAGAATGGCACAACAGTGTTGCACTTGGCTGCTTGGTTTGGTCACTCGGAGATAATGAGATTTCTGATAAACGAGAAACAGGCCGATTATAATATTAAAGACTGCGATGGCAGAGCAATGTTGCAAATGGTTGCTATTTACGGCGACATAGACATGATGAAATTTTTGATAGACGAACACCAGGCTGATTTTACTGCCAAAGATTATGACGGCGATACAGTTTTGCACATGGCTGCCAGTTGTGGTCATCTCGACCTGGTTAAGTATCTGGTGAATGAAAAGAAGATTGATGTGAATGCTGTGGAAGAGGAGGGCACGACAATTTTGCACATGGCCGCCTGTTTCGGTCACATGAACGTAGTTGAATTCCTGATAAATGAAAAGAACGCTGATGTGAATGCTATAGACGAGGATGGTGATACAGTGTTGCACTTGACTGTCAGCTGCGGTCACTTCGACGTTATTAAATATCTGATAAATGAGAAAAATGCCGATTTTAATGCTCCAAACGCTGATGGCACAACGATTTTACACTCGGCAGCTTGCTTCGGTTACTTGGACATGATTAAGTTTCTGATAAACGAGAAAAGCGTCGATATAAACGCCACCAACAATGCTGGCAAAACAGTTTTCCTTTTCGCTGCCAGCTATGGACACTTGGCGATAGTTAAATACCTGATAAATGTGAAACAGGTCGATATCAATGTTAAAGACGATAAGGGTAACACAGCGTTGCACTTGGCTACCAGCTGTGATCACTTGGATGTGGTTAAATTTCTGATCGATGAAAAGAATGCTGATTTTAATGCTAGGAACAATGATGACAGAACGGTTCTGCACACAGCTACCGCCTTTGGACACTTGGAGATTGTTAAATATCTGATAAACGAGAAACAGGCCGATTATAATGCTACCTCTATGCGTGACAATACAGTTTTGCATTTGGCTGCTTACTACGGTCACTTGGACATAGTGAAATATCTGGTGAATGAAAAACAGACCAACGTTAACGTCAAGAACAACAGAGGCACAACAGTTTTGCACGTTGCTGCTTGCTTCGGTTACTTGGAGATAGTTAAATGGCTGGTGAAGGAGAAGGGGGCCCGCTATGATGCTCAAGACAATCATGGCACAACAATTTTGCACTATGCTGCTCGGACTGGCCAGTTGGACGTGGTCGAATTTCTGGTGAATGAGATGCATGCTGATGTTAATACTGCGGACTACAAAGGTTACACAGTCGCGTACTGGGCTGTCAGCTGTGGTCACTTGGACATTGTTAAATTTCTGTTGAACAATGAGAAGGTCGATCAAAAATGTAAAGACGAGATTTTCAAGGCAGTTTTGTTCTTCGCCGCTACCTATGATCACCTGGAGATAGTTAAACTTCTGTTGAACGAGGAAAGGATCCCATTTGAGGTGAACAGCGACACCGGCAAAACAGCTTTGCATTTGGCTGCCCGGCATCGTAAATTGAACATAGTTAAATTTCTGATCAATGAGAAAGGAGCCGATTACAATGCTAAGAACGAGGATGGTCTAACAGTTTTGCATACGGCTGCGTGCTTCAATTGCTGGGAAGTAATTGAATATCTGGTGAATGAAAAGGGAGCTGATTTCAATGTTGTCAACCGTAACGGGGAAACAGTTTTGCAGTTGGCTGCTCATTATGGCAGCTTGGAGATAATTAAGTTTCTAGTCGATGAAAAGAAGATTGATGTTAACGCTAAAGACAACAATGGTAGAACACTTTTGTACTTGGCTGCTAGGTCTGGTCAGTTGGACCTGGTGAAATTTCTGGTAAATGAGAGGAATGCCGATATCAATACTAAAGACGTGGAGGGAGATACAATTTTGCATCTGGCTGTCACCTGTGGTCAATTGGACGTCGTTAAGTTTCTGGTGAATGACAAAAAGGTTGATTTTAATGTTAAAGACCGTGATGGCTCTACCGTTTTGCACACGGCCGTTTCGTTTGGTTACTTGGAGATAGTTAAATTTCTGGTGAACGAGAAAAGGGCCGATTTTAATGCTAAAGACGACGATGGAACCACAGTTCTGCACTTGGCTGCTAGCTGTGGTAACTTGAGCATGGTTAAATTTTTAGTAAATGAAAAGAACGCCGATATTGATGTTTCCGACAAGAATGGCACGTCGGTTTTGCACACGGCCGCTTGCTTTGGTTACATGGAGATCGTTAAATTTTTGATAAACGAGAAGAATGCCGATTTCAATGTTGTCAACAGCAATGGCAGGACGATTTTGCACTTGGCCGCTTGGTCTGGTCATTTGGAGATCATCAAATATCTGGTGAACGAGAAAGGGGCGGATTTTAATGTTAAAGACATCGACGGCAAGACAATTTTGCACGTGGCTGCTAGTTGTGGCCACTTGAATATTGTTAAGTTTCTGGTGAATGAGAAAAAGGCCGATCTGAGTTGTACAGACAATATTGGCAGAACGGTGTTGCACGTGGCTATTCTACGTGTGTTTGAATTCCTGAAGGGTAGCAAAAGTGGTGCCGTGAGGTCGACGCGTAGGCGTTTTTAACCAGTTCAGCAAGTATTTGTAAGCTGGGCGATGGCAACAGTTCTATTACACGCTCTGGTTGAGGAGTGAGCCGCATGATGTTGTGAGAAGGCGAACTGCATCAGGCGAATAACATGTTGTAGATGTGGGAGTTAAGATGCCTGCGTTAAGAAAAAATGCCTGCGAGATGTCTGCGTTAAATAAGAAAATCAATGCTTAAATATGTTGTGTTTCAAGTAATACATGATACATATAGTGTATCCTTTCAGAATTACCATCAATTCTAAGATATATTTTTAGAAATAGGCCAAAGAACTGTTTTGTATTGAAATTCTTCAGGGATCTTGACTTTCTAAAATTGACTTCACAATGTTGTAACTGAGAGGAATCCTTCAATTTATATAATATACCGTTACTTGCAGATGTGTTCAAATTCAGGAACTTAGGTAAGATCAACGTAGACAGTATTATTGTTATATTATTAAATTTGTTTA